CAACCCCCCCCCAACAAAAAACAAAACAAAACAACAACTGGACATCAGAGGCATGCAAAAACGCGTAAATAATGAAGGATGCTTGTCATTGGACAAGGTTTGGAGATACTTTGATTTAAGAGACTTTAGAAAAGATGCATATCTTCGTTACGGTATTCAAAAAGACTTCTCTATTTTGTTTTCTATATCTAAAACGGCAGAGAACAATTGTTGATTTGTTCTTGACGGTTTGAAATTTGCTGCACCTTTCCCTTTTGTCTTCTAATCGAACACATGCGTTGGCTGCGTACATAAAGAGTTAAACTACCTTGAGCGTCCCTTTAAATAGGTTTTGCAGCACATGTGACTATGGGACTTAGATTAAGAGCAAGCTAACTTTCATCAGAGACACTTGAAATGTAGTGAGACCACCTTGAGAGTCTCTTTATAAATAGGCTTTACAGTAACTCTGTCATGGTCTTAGATGAAGATGACCAAGTGGATGACTTACAAGACGTAAATTTCTAGTATTTCTCTTCGTAAATCTCAGTTTTTATTTTTAGTCTCGCATAACCCGTGACAGACGTAGCAAACGAAGCCTCGTCACGCGCGCACGCACACGTTTTCTCTTGGCAGACGACAAGTCCAACGGTAGATTTGACAGACAGACATGAGGCTCGGATAAGAGCAACAGGCTCTCCTTCTAACCGTCAAAACCGCTCCCCATTCCTTAACCTTTTCGGCTTAGCATGAAGTGTACCTCGCAGGTAAGTATTCGCCCTCTGTTCTCGGGGCCTGGCAACTTTTGTATTGTTAATCACAGAACTTGAAAAGTTATTTGAAAGATGATGATGATGATGATGATGATGATGATGATAATAATAATAATAATAATAATTTTGCAAATGTCAGGTCTGGAGCAGACATTGACGATCATGGTAGCTCAATCTTTCATGTGTGTTGTCTGTCTTTTTGATCAGATAGGTTTTTGGCTTTGTGTTATTGGTTACAAAGTTGTCCAGGCCATCTGTGTATGTTGCTCTTTGTCTTTCTCTGCTCTTCTTTCCCTCTATCTTTCCACACTGCAGTTGTTTCTCTATTCCGTTTGATCTGTTTATGTGGACAAAGAATCTCAATTGTGGCACTACGCGATGGAATCAGGCTCTCGTCAATTTTTGGACATACGGAGTTGATGTTATCATCTTAAGGCCTGTCCGTTTCCCTTGTTTTGAAAATAATATCCATCTTTGTTGAATAGAAGTCGCGATTTGTGTGATTGAAGGGGTGAGGTCATCTGGTTTCAGAGGCAAAAATTAGCGAGATAATGGCTGCCAAAGTTGAAATTTTTTCTTTAGCTTGAGAATCCGTGGAAACTGAAAATTTACATTTATTCTGCCTTTAATCAATGTTTTTCAGTAAAGATCCACTGAGAAATGTGCTCTTTAATGGGCATAAAAATGTGTTGAACCCAGTGGTGTCGCGTGGGTTGCAGACAAGGTGGTGCATAATTGGAAAGTGAGCAAATAGGCAAAATAGGCTTAGTAACTTCTGTTCAGATTTCTAAAGAAAGTCAATTAGAATCTGCAGGATATCCCGTAATCTACCTCTGTCGATATTTACAACTGCTTCTAGATGAAACGCAAAAAAGCTACAATAAAGTGAAACAATACTAACAACTCACTATGCTCACACTGAGAAGATTTAAAGATTTCTAATTACGTACTTCGTGCAGCACCAGGACTTACTACACAATAGAGGGAGACAACAGACAACAGTTTCGATACCCATTCTTCATTGAGTTATCGTAGACTCTACTGATTAAGGGTAGTAGATAGGCACACGGAAACTAGGGTCAAATTTTTTGCTTGCACCAAATTGGTGCTGCGAAGAGCAGTTTCATGCACCTTTCTTCTTGAGCGGGAAGAAAGATGCCTAGATTTCTCTACAGTGACAAAAATAACTTTGGTGCAAAGATTTTGCTTGCCCCCAACGCCCAGCAGACACTACAGCAAGCGGTGCGACGAGCATAAACCATCCTCGCTGTATGTCTCTTCGCTGGCTCAGCCAGCGGGTGACGGATCACAAGGATGTAGTTGGCCTAGGCCTATACTAATAATTTTTAGATCTAGAGCACTGACTGGTTTAGAACAATCAGAAAAAAAGGGGGGGGGTGGTGAAGGCCTGGGTTAGGTGGAGCGCTTGCACCAATTGCACCAATGACGCCCGACGCCCCGCCACTGGTTGAACCAAAAACCAAAAATTCGATCAAAGTTCCCAAATCTGAGGGAAAATGCTAATTTCTTAACTTTCATATTCCGACGATTTACTTGGATCTACTTGGATCCAGAGCTAGAATCATAGCAGGCGGCACATGTCCATAGCTGCTCATCTCTCCTTTCCAGCGTCCACCTCAGGGTCTTCCTGCTAATTGTCTCCATGAGGAGCTGGTTTGAGACACGCCTGACCACTCCTCGGAGCAAACTTTTTTCGCTGTGCCCCGCACACACTTTTCTTTTATTGTGCTGAGTGTGTGGGAGTCTGTCTTCTCTTGGTTGCGAAGGCTCTGCTTGCATCTGGTGATCACCATTGGTGGGTCGAGCATGATTCGGCCATTGGGTGCTGTTTGCCGGCAAGTTCATCAGCACGCTCATTTCCGTGCACCCCGGCGTGACCAGTGCAGAACACCCATGTAATTCTTAGGAGGTGGCTATTATTATTCCGAGGAGCGCCTGATTACACCACACTGCCTCACAATTGTCTTTTCCTGATGGTTCCGATCGTGGATCTTTCACTACTTGCCATTTGGGTCACTTCTTTATTTGTTTTCCTCTCTATCCATGAGATTCTGAGTATATTCTCCTTAAATACTACATTTCAGCGGCCTCCAGTCTGCTCTCTGTGTCTTTGTTTGGATTCCAGCTCTCACTTCCATACAAAAGGATTGACCATATGTACGATTTCAGGGTTCTTATTTTTTGTGTTCACTGTTACGTTTTTATTTGAGAGGATAGGTTCCATTTAGCTGAAAGTTTCTTGTGATGTTGCAATCCTCTTTTTTATCTCTGTGTTGCTTTTTGCATCTGGTGTCACTGTGCAACCAAGGTATTTAAAACTGTAAACCTGTTTTATTCATTCGTTCTTATATGTGATGTTGCATACTGAGATGTCTGCTCTTTTTGGTATCATTATGCCCTCATACTTTTTAGCATTCAGTAGTATGGCCTTTTTTCTTTGCTTTTCTCACTCACTCTAGTTATAAACTCTTGGAGCTTCGACTCGGAGACAGCTATCAAGACTGTATCATCTGTGAACCGTAGGTTGTTAATATTATAGCTGTCTTCCATGACTCCTACTGTATCACTGATGGTACGCCGTATTAGTTCGCTGTATAAATAAAGAGATCTGGAGATAAGACACATCCATGTCGTGCTCCTCTGCGAATTGGCTTGTATGCGCTGAGCTCGTTGTTGACCCTGATTGCTGCCTGTTGTTCCCAAAACAGGTTTCTTATGATTCTTAGGTCTTTTCTATCCACGTTCAGGTCTTTTAGGATGATGAATAGACCTTTATGTATCACTTTGTCAAATGCTTTAGTCGATAAAGCAGAGATAACGGTCTTTCTGGAGCCCACTTGACCTTTCCATAATCCTTTTTATAGACGATATGGCTTTTTGGGTACCTTCATTTGCAACCAACCCAAAATGCGTTTAAGAGATTTCAGGGAATTTTTTTCTCATTCTTTTCATTAGTACCCGCAGGAGGACGTGAGTAAGATGACTCATAAGACTAAAAATTCTCCTGTGTTGCTCACATTCTGCTGTTCCAGCCTTTTTTTAAATTTTTAGCAATGCTATACATAGATCTATTGACTTCTTAATAATAATAATAAATAGCATTTATACTGCGCATTTCCATTTCCTAAAAGATGCTCAATGCGCATTACAATGAAAAAGACATCACATCTTAAAAATTAATCGACACAAATGTGTACGTAAAACAAAGTATTAAATATTATACATATAATACAAATGCATATGTGTAAAATTTTATACCAGAAAAACAGTCTCGCAGTGAGGTTGAAAATGTGTTCACTAAAAATATACAATGCAATATAAATTCACGAACAGTCAAAATACAGTTCAAACGTGAGTAACTAGAAACATTCATTAAAACATTAATTCTATACAGATAGAAAAACATTTCCACTCTCTCTCTCTCTCTCTCTCTCTCTCTCTCTCTCTCTCTCTCTCTCTCTCTTTCTCTCTCTCTGTCTGTCTGTCTGTCTGTCTCTCTCCCTCTCTCTCTCTCCCTCTCCCTCTATCTTCTTCAGATCTTCTGGTAGCTCTCCGGTGTTGTATACGATGTAAAGCGATGTTGTCACTTCTTTCATACCCAAATCTTCTAAGGATGAGATCATTTCAATGGGTATGTTATCTGGGCCTGGTGCTTTGCCAAATGGTTGTTGTTGTACTTGTTGTTGTGCTGGTGCTGATGTTTTGCTATTGTATTTGCTGCTTTTGGTAATGATACTACTGTAGAAGTTTTCTTGTCACAAAACACAGCAGTTGTGGGCGTGAGTGCGAAATCAAATGCGCACAGGTGCGATTATTAATTGTCACTGTTGATATGGTTTGTTTTTCTGTGCGATACTATAGATATTTCGTTCTTTTTCGATCGTGTCTGTGCTCTTTGAATCTGTTCGATGTGGGTTTTAATTTCTCTTGAGTTTTCATGCCATTTTGGTATTTTTTTTCTGGATCTGTTGTTGTTGTTGTTGTTGTTGTTGTTGTTGTTGTTGTTGTTGTTGTTGTTGTTGTTGTTGTTTTTTTAACATGAGACTTTCTTTTAACTCTTAACCAACATCTGATACCTTCAATATCATTTAGTGGACTGTATTTTCCTAAAATGCTATTTCTTCCCCTGAATCTTAACCAAACCAGCAACAACTTGAAACATGAAACGTTAAGGAAACATCAATATCGTCAAAAAATAGTGAAAAAAAAATGAAAAAGTTAATTTATGCTAAAGAAGCAAAGAAAAACAAGGGAAACCTGCACGTCTCAACTACGAAAGAAAGACTAAGGACGAAGAAAGGGACATAATTCTCTAGCAAATGTCAAAAAGTTGACGTCCGGTGATTCCACATGTGACCAGCGCTTGTCAAGGAAGCTTATTTTGTTAAGGAAACAAATGTATATATTATGTGCTGCTTTAGGGTAAACTGTAATAAGTGATGGCTTGGGGAAAACAATTGGAGCTCTTCATTTTTCTATGAGTACTGTCCGCATATCATGTCCTCAGGGTGAAACATATATATGCATAAACACACACACACACA